AGAGAGATGGGCCCAGAAAATATGAGCAGTCACTACCAACAGGATATGTCAGAATCTTGTAATATGCAAAGGTAAGAAAGAGAAAGGCAATTTTGAAGGCGAGAGAGAGAGTAGTCGAGCTGAACTGGAGGGTTTATGTAGGAAAGACAACGTTGTTAAGACAGTGAGGCAAGTGTTCGGGTAGAGTTCATACTTTACCCGCACACAACAGGGACGCACTAGAGGGGATGGCTGCAGAACACTGTGATCGTCCTAATGCCACCGAACTGAATGCTTTAAAATAGTTAATTTTATGTGAATTTAAGCTCAATTTAGAAATAAGAGAGCCACTGAAATTGACATGATAAAAGGACTATTTCAAAGGATTAATCTAGTGATCATGCAAATGATTCTGTGACGAACCCGACAGCAGAAAGGCTGATTGGTTCAACAGCTACGAGCACATTCTAGACAAGTAAGAGAAAAGCCTGATGTAGGAGAGCAGCAGGAATGGGATGGGCAGGAATAAGATAACCTAAAAGACAAAATGACAGAAGCAGGCAAGCACCTGGATAGGGGATGGGACTCAGAGAAAGGACAGTATCCATCACTCAAGAAGCTGTAACATCTGATTGTCTGCTTGGAATCCTGCAGATGTAGGTGAGGTCCTTTATCAGCTGACTTCAAGAGAACCAAAGGAAGAGTAGGTGGAGAGCCCAACTCTGTCAGGGAAGCCTTTATAAGAGGGTAGAGAAGTCAGAGGCTCTCTCCTGCTGGCCTTCAAGAAGTCAGCTGCCCTGAGTTCTAGAGCTTCAAGGAAACGAATTCCACCAACAGCCACCTGAGCTTGGAAGATAACCCCAAGCCTCAGCTGAGACCCCAGCTCTGTCCAACACCTTCACCGCAGCCCCGAGTGGAAGACTCAGCTAAGCCAGGCATGCCAGACTCGTCGCCCACACAAACCGTGAGATAAGAAATGTGTGTAGCATTGTTTTAAGCTGCTAAATATGCAGTAATTTTTTATGCAGCAACAGAAAACTACTATACCAGGGAAAGAACTTTCTAGGCAGAAGGAAAGGAAAATGGCTGGCCCTAGGGCAGAGTATGCCCAGTGTGTAAGTAAGACTGTAAGGCAGCCAGCGGAGCTGACGTGGAGCGAGCGAGGCAAAGAGGGTTAGGACAGGAGGTCAGATGGGCGCTGGCTGCAGGGGCAGACCACGTGTCACTCTGCTGACCTCGCTCATACAGAGGAACCACTGGAGCCTTCTGATGTGGCTTACACTTCAAAGGATCACTGTAACTGCAATGTTGAGACTACCCTAAAGGGGAGAAAAGGTAGAAGCAGGAAGACCAGTAAGGAGGCAACACTTCAAGGGAAAGAAGATGGCGCCTCAGAGTAGTGCAGGAGCGGTAAAGGTCGTAAGAGGCTGTCTGACTCTGCAACATCCCGAGTAAATACTTCCATCTAGACTTAAAATCGACAGACTCCTACTCCTGCAGAGGAGAGGCTGCCGGGAAAACTCTTTAATATTACTCTGACGCATGTGGTCCCACTCTTCCTTCCTTACTTCTCTCGTATTTATATCACCCTGTTCTCTGATTTAGACTACACGTCATTCTTAGCCCCAATCCAGCCAATGAGAGGGATCAACCCATTATCTCTCTTTCACAACCATGATCTAACAGTAAGCCAGGCCACAGGCTGGGAAACAGTCTGGACGAGCAACCACACTGTCTTTGGACGCCATTTGAAAATTTCTGTCCCCATGAGAGGAGCTACATCGTGAAGAGGCTGTTCCCCCAAGCCTTCTCACCCCCAGAGCCAGCAAATACCTGGGATCATCCCGACAAATGTGGCCAAATGAAGCTTTGAGCACAGGAAGTTTTCTGCTTCTTGAGCTGTTCCAGAAAGACTAGAAAATCCTCAGGAAAAACTGGAGAGGTTGCAGTGGCAGTAAAAAGGACGTGATCTGGAACTAAGGGGACATTTCCAGTTCTCTTATTAAAACCTCTTAGGCAAATCTGCTGGAATATATGAAATGATAAAAGGTGCTGAAGCTTCACAAAGGAACTTCGTGAAAAGACCCACTGAGTGACCCTACTTATTCCCACACAACACCCGGAAGACTGAGAGCGGAACACCGGTCACCAGCCAGTGTCATGATGAAGTTCACAGCAACGAAGCTACCAGACAGAGTCTAGAGTAAGTACTAGCCTGAAGCACAAGTGGGAGAAATGCTGAATACGCTCACTCCTGCCAAGGAAGCTGTTTCAAAATGGCAGAGTGGGGAGAAGTCCTGCAGCAATTGGCCGGTTTTATTGCTTGCACTACTCCACAGCGGCCACACGGAGGCGCCAGCATACCCCATGATCTGAGATCTACTAGGGTGCTGTTCAGCCTCCCACAGTGATTAGTAGAAATACTGCTCCTAATGAAGGCATATGATTGCCACAGAATATAAAAGTGGCCACACTCAGAGGACTTTACAACAGCATACTGCACTTCGCAGTCCGCTCCACCGTTCCTCCAGACCCTTTGTACAAAACGCATACTCCTAGGGACTCCCTAGCCTCTTGCTCTTCCTTCCCTCCCACACTCCAGGTCACCTCCCTACTAATAACCCCTGGATACATGTGTCTAACTCCGCTGGGCTCCTGTCCTACATCTCTAGCTGTGCTCTAGCTATTGCAACCATCATTTCAAACTCAACACCTCTATAAATTCATCTTTCCTTGCAGACCAACTGTCCCTCCAGATTTTCTGACTTCTCACATTGATAATAATTAATACTAACATTACCTGGCATGTGCCAGGCTCTATATGGATCAACTCACGTAATACTTAAAATAATAAAGATAATAATAAAAATACTACTTCAAATAATAATGCTCTATTCAATACCTGGTTCAAAATCACATAGCTAGGGGCGCCTGAGTGGCTCAGTCAGTTAAGCATCTGCCTTCGGCTCAGGTCATGATCCCGGGGTCCTGGGATAGAGTCCCACATCAGGCTACTTGCTCAGCGGGGAGCCTGCTTCTCCCTTACCCGCTCCCCCTGCTTCTGCTCTGTCTCTCTCTGTCAAATAAATAAATAAAATATTTTTTAAAAAATCACATAGCTAGAGAAGAGTCAGAGCTAGATTTGAATCCAGGCAGACTAGCTCCAGATCCGTGTGCTGAACCATTATTTTGTCATATTTGATATTTCCCTTTGAAGGTATATGTTTGCATTCCCAATTTTCCACAAGCAACCAACAGATTTTTGTCGATGATGACCAGCTAAAGCCATAGACTAAGGGACTTAGTCTCACTAAACGGAAAGGCATAAGTGCAAGGACCAGGTCTCTCTGATTCACGCTCTATTTCTAGCACCTCACACAATTCATGGCATATAATAAGCATACAACACATGGGTGGAATTGGCTGAAGTCACACTCAAATCACCATCTACACGGCAAAGACAAAAAAAGAACCTCAGAAGTCCAAATGGGGTTTCCACCAACAGAAACACAGAACTGATGACAGGGCTTGCTATTTTGATAATAATGAGTAGAATCATCTTGTTTCCAAGTCAAAACAAATGTGAGAAAGGAGAAAGAACATGGTTGTAAAGTAATTATAAGTGGAAAAAAGGTCTATAAAAATCTTTATCCAAAAAAAGGTATGGTGAACTAGGACAGGGTGGGGGAGATGTGAGGACGGTGAGCGGGAGGTATCTGTGGACCCTGCGGAGCCAGACGGCTGGACGCATGTGTGTCCAATTGAAGTATTAAAGCCGATTCCGTCATTATGCTGGGAGTCGGGCCCTGGTTTTCTAACACCTTACTTGTTTTATTTCCTATATTCCAGGCAAGTCAGAACGACCACCCTGCTAAGATGTCTAGGTCTTGGGAGGGGCCATAGGAACAGGTAAGGCAACACCATTATGAACTTGGTTAAATGCATTTATTCCTTTTCAGCAAGGAGGAGAGCAGAATCTTCCTGACTAGTTGCCGCTAATTAAAAGTATGATTTCTCTTGATATTTTTTTTCATTCATGTGTTAGGCCATATTTAACGACTGCTGAGCAGTTAGGTACTGGGATGTAAATGTGATCCAGAAAAACGTGGTGATGTGCGCAACCGACACGCAAGTAACATGGGGAAGGAGAGGGTGCTAAGTAATCATCTGTTTGGGGAAAGGAGGTACCTACCCCAGATGTTGAATACTCACAGAAGGCTTCCTAACCTGATACCCAGGCTGAGGTCTAAAGGATGAAGTTGGCTAGGGAAGTGTGGGAGAGTAAGGTTGCTCCAGGCAAAGAACGCGTGCAGTGGGCAGGCAGTGAGAGAGCAAAGCTTCGCTGTAGAGGGGCAGAAGGGGCAGCACCGAGTTAGGGAGGGTGTGGGGAAGTGGACATTCTCACACATAGCTGCTGAGTATACAATTAATCCAAATTAATACATTTCTACAGAGAAACTTGAGGACATGTTCAACGCCTTAAAAAGCGTTCCATTTGACCTAGCAATTTCATTTCTGGGAATTTATCTTACAGAAAGAATTAAGCACATATGCAATGACTTAGCCACAAGGAAAATAAACGCTGCTGCTTATAAAAGCAAAATGTTTAAAGCAACCTAAGGGCCCATTTACTGAGAACTAGTTAAATAAATTAGAATACAACCGGATTTCAAAGTGCCCTGCAGTCGTTATGAGTTGTGCTCAAGATTAATATTTATTGGCATGAAAAACTGTTCACAATATGACATTAAGAGCAGAAGCAAGCTACGGTACAGTATTATGGTATGGATCTCATTGCAGAAACACATAAGCAGAAGAGGTCAGCTTATGTCAAGATTGGGGAATTAGAAATGTTTCAGTTTCTTTTGCTTATCTTTTAAATATCTTTAATGAACATGTATTCTTTTTTTAATAAGAAGTATTTGTCACTTATTAACCTTTTTTTGCAGATGTACTTGTCCCATCAGTGAACTGAGATGAATTAAGTCTGACACTCAGTTTTTGACCAGCAGACTATGAGGGCACAAAAAGGAATATGGATTCCAGGAAAGAGACCTCCACAGCACACCCCCACACCCATGCCCCAAACCTTCTTCCTCCCAACACATACCTGGACAAATCCAAACGGGAAGAAACGCTCTGTCTGCCCCTGGGAGCCACGGTGGAAGGTCTGGCGCCAGTCTTCAATGAGCGCAGGGAACGTGCAATTATACAGGTCCCTGTTAAAATTCACGTTGGACTCCCCTAAAAACAGTCCAGATTGTGAGAGGGGCTTGGGGTGGATGCAAACACGGCCGCACGTTTCTCCCCAACCGCCATCCATGCCCTTAGGGAGTGGGCCTTCCTGCAGTCTCTCTGGACTGGCCTTGAGACTTGCTCTGGCCAAAGGGGCCTCAGCAAATGGGATGCAAGCAGAGGCTTGAAAAGTGCTTCAGCTTTGGGCTTCACTCAGACACTGCTGAGTGAATGCTATGAGACTGAGACTGAGACTGCTATGTCAATGATAAAGAAGTCTGAACTAATTTGCTCAAGGCTGAGAGACCACTTGAGACCATGGTGCCCCAGCAGTCAACAAACAGGAGGAAGAGGCCATCCTAGGTCATCCAGCCACCAGACACCTGCCAAGTGGCCAAAGACACATCAGCGATCCCAAGAGAAATTAACCAAAGCAGTCTATACAGGAAAACTACCCTAATAACCCACTGAATGGTGAGCCAAATAAAATTATTATTGTTTTAAGTCACTCGGTTATGGGGTAGTTTGTTATGCAGCAAAAGCTAACTGATACAATGGAGAAAGAGCAAAATGAGCACTCACCCTGGTACCAGATCACCCCTTTCAGAGTCATGTTATGCAGTGGATGGATCATGGCATTCCAGAGAACAGAGTACTTACTGGGACCAGTCACAGAATCAGACGGAATCAACCTGCAATTGATAAGATTCACAAGTGTCACGAGAGAGCTAGTGACCAATCACAGGATGATCCCGAAACTGGGTGTCTATCCAGCTTTCACTTGGGGTAAACTTCTGATGAAAGCAACACAGAATCAGACTGAACCACTCTGTTTCACATGAAAACATGTGAACAGCCTCCAACTTTCGTATCTGTCCAGGTTCTTCCTGGGATAAGGGTATCGGTCAGCTTTCTATGAGTCCAGAGAGGGCCATCCCAGTTTCCAGATAAGGTCACTAAAACCAGAGGGGAGGAGTGTTTTATTATGAGTATCTCATGCAGACAATTTATTTAACTAGTACTCAGTGGATGGACACTTGGATTTTTTTTAAGCTTTCTGCTCATCTTCCTTATAGCTAAAATCACTGCATATATGCTTAATTATGTCCTTAAGATAAATTCCCAGAAATGAAACTGCTGGGTCAAAGGGCATATTTTTTCAAGGCTTTGTGGACACATTCCTAAAGTTCTCTGTAAAATGCATATATGAGTTTATACTCATGACCGCTATATATGAGAATGCCCACTTCCCCACACATTCGGTGGCGTCCCTTCCTGTCCCCAGAGATCTGGGAAGCCTGACTTTACATCCCTCCCACTCTACCTAGGCCATTCTCTTAGTTCCAAAGTTGAACATCTCCCCTTCCCTACAGGCATGTCTTTACCTGAGCTATACCAAGAGCTCAAGTCCATCCTCTCCCCAGGGGCCTTCCCAGATTGAATGAAACAATGTCTGTGAAAGCAGTTCACATACTGTTAATCTCTGTGTTAATATTAGTGTCAGGATTTTATTAACTACTCCTTTCTCCCCCACTCCACATATTCTTCCAGATCCAGCTTTTCCTGATTGTGCTTTCATAATCAGAATTTCATAATCAAATAAATTTCTTTGATTACATGTATATTTGTTCTTCCTGTTAGACTGTTTATTCTTATGGGCAATACAGCACAGTGGCTGAGAGCACAGACATTGAAGCCAGACTTTGCCCCTTACCAGTTGTACCCATGAGTGAGTTACTAAACCACTCTGAGATGTAGCAGCTTTATCCACATATTATTTGTGTTCATAGTATCTACACTTCTAGAGGTTATTGCGAGTACTAAGTGAATTAATACATACAAAGTGATTACAACAGTATCCAACACAGAGAAAGCTTTCAGTAAGTATTAGCTATTACTAAGGAAAAGGATAATTTCTTCTTGACATATTCTCAGATGAGCATGGTGCTGACGACAGTGAAAATAACACGTTCCATGTTCGTGCAATAAGTTACATATATTCAATACCTATTTGGACATTCAACAAGTATTTGGCTCCCCAGAGAACACCATGATCCTTCTCTCTTACAAAATTTCCTGGATCCTTCTCCCAGACTTCAGGATACTGTCTCACCCTCGCGTCAGAACACCACAGGCTCTCAGCGACCTTCCAGATGACCAGGCTTCAATGGGTGTCCCAGCCCACGAGGAGGAGACCAGCCCGATGGGGTACTGCAGAGTGTCATAGAGGGAACGTCCAAAGAGCCAGCACACTGCTGACATGTACTTGAAAATCCCATGGCCTAAGTTCTCTGTTGAGGAAAAGTTAGACAGAAGAAGTCAGGAACGCGGTAGATCTCCTACTGCATGTAAGTCCCTGGCTCGGCGCTACAGAAGACCCAAACCCAGTACAGCTCTGGCCCTCAGAAAGTTGACAGTGTAATACTGGGAATTCCAATCAGTTTCGAATGAGATAAAACCGACTAGCACCTTCTAGGTGCCAGGCCCTTCTAGATGGTTGGGATACAGTGAACAAAGACATATGGAGAGACACGGAGGCTCTCCTCATAGCTCTTATATTCTACAGAATAAGCCAAACATTCAGCTGAATAAAATATATGGCAAAATATGGTTAAGTGCCTGAAGAGGTACAAACAAGTGGTAAGGGGTTTCAACAGCAAGAGAAAGAAGAGCAAATGAAAGGCACATCACAAAAAGCCTAATAAGACCTACCCCTCTCCCCTGTGCTTCCATAATACTCTATGCATAGTGTTTCCCTTACCCTTGGAGTATTAGCTACTCCAAGGCAGGAACCTTATCTTCCTCCCTTCTGGATCCCCAATGTCTAGTACCTAACACAGAGTCAGTAAAGGTTCGTTGGCTGGTGTCTGGTGGCTGTGGGTAGCTGGTATAAAGGCAGATCCACTGATGGGCAGGGAGAAGGAAAAGGTAAATAAGGGGGACGGGGAGAGAGTTGGGGGATGCAGAGCTGGTATTCTGGGCAGAAGAAACAATATGTAAAAAGGCACACAGAGTAGGAAAACTGTTGAAAGGATTTGATTAGAGCCTAGACCATAACAGGAGAACAGTGGAAGATAAGACAGGAGGGGAATCACATCTTGGAGGAAAGAAAGCAGAAAGCCACAAAGCCACTTGAAAATGCTTGGGAACGAGAATGTGTGGAAGGCAGAAGAGCCCTCCAAAGATGTCCACACCCCAATGCCTGCAGTCTGTGATCTGTTACCTTACGTGGCTATGGGGCTTTGTAGATGTGACTGGGGTTGAGGACCTTGAGACAGGGAGACTGCCCTGAATTATCCTGGTGGCTCCCATCTAATCATGAGTCCTTAATATCAGAGAACCTTCCCAGCTGCAGTCAGAGAGATGTGACAACAGTAGGAGAGGCGGCAGAAATTTGGAATATAAGAGCGGCCTGACCTACTGTGCTCTTCCCCAGGACCTGCACTGCCTCGCCTTTCTCTGTCGGGACCACCAGGGCCGCTCTCCACTGGAAACCACAACTCCATCCCAGCCCCAACAGTCCTACTGCACCCCCTTCCCTGAGGTATTTCATTTATGTGTTTTTGTCTCATTAGTTTGCTCACCATCTACCCTATCCCTTCATACCCAAAAATGTATTAGGTCTCCAAGTTTAGAGTGAAAGTCTGCTGATAGCAAGGTAAAATATATTATCCAAATCTAACTGATTCCTGAGTTTTGGATAACACACAGGGAAAGTTCATAGACCAAAAGATTTATCCAAAAATTTACCCAAATCGATTCAGCTCCTGAGTTCTCATAGGGAGAATTCAGAGAGTGTGATACTGAGTATTATCAAACACTTTGTATATAATGTACTGATTTTATTATTCATTTGCTAAAATCCCCCACACTAGAAAGCAAGCTCCATGAGATCAGGTGTTCTTGCCTGTCTTACCCACTGCCGTCCCCGAAGCACTTAGAACAGTGCTTAGCACACAGGAGGTTCTCAAATATTTGTTGAATGAATTAACACTTGAAAATGTGGGAGCACACAGGAAATGACAGATGTTGACGAGGATGCGGAGAAAGGGGAACCCTCCTACACTGTTAGTGGGAATGCAAACTGATGCAGCCACTCTGGAAAACAGTATGGAGGTTCCTCAAAAAGTTGAAAATAGAGCTACCCTACGACCCAGCAATTGCACTACTGGGTATTTACCCCAAAGATACAAATGTAATGATCCGAAGGGGCACCTGCACCCTAATGTTTATAGTAGTAATGTCCACAATAGCCAAACTGGGGAAGGAGCCCAGATGTCCAATGACTGATGAATGGACAAAGAAGTATGATACACACACAAACACACAACGGACTATTACTCAGCCATCAAAAAAAATGAAATCTTGCCATCTGCAACAATGCGGAGAGAACTAGGGGGTATTTCTAAGTGAAGTAAGTCAATCAGAGAAAGACAATTATCGTATGATCTCACTCATATGTGGAATTTAAGAAACAAAACAGAGGAGCATAGGGGAAGGGAGTGAGAAATAAAACAAGAGGAAACCAGAGAGGGAGACAAACCATAAGAGACTCTTAATCACAGGAAACAAACTGAGGGTTGCTGGAGGGGAGGGGGGTGGGGGGATGGGATAACTGGGTGATGGGCATTAAGGAGGGAATGTGATGTAATGAGCACTAGGTGTTGTACGCAACTGATGAATTTCTGAACTCTACCTCTGAAACTAATAATACACTATATGTTAATTAATTGAATTTAAAAAAAAAGAAAATGTGGGAGCAGAGGTTAGCAAAGTAAAGCAGGTACAGACGAAAAAAGAAAAGGGACGAGAAAAAGCACAAGGGACCACATTTGGAGGAAGAGAGAGAAGAAAGCAAAGAGAAAGAGGAAGAAGTCAGAGGAGGAAAACTAGGGAGAGGAGAGACCATGCAAGTGAAGACGAATGTGCAGTTTCTTTTTTTTTTTTAAGATTTATTGATTTATTTTAGAGAGAGAAAGAAAGAGAGAACAAGAGAGTAGGAGGAGGGGCAAAGGGAGAGGGAGAGTCCCAAGCAGACTCCCACTGAGCACAGAGCTCAACAAGGGGCTCAGTTCCAGGACCCTGAGATCGTGACCTGAGCCGAAATCAGGAGTCGGATGTTCAAACCCAGGCGCCCCTGGAACATGCAGTTTCTAAAAGCTGCGGTCAGCAGTGTCAAGTGCTAGAGTGTCTGGAGCGCATAACTGGAAGAACAGCAGTAGCCTTGAGGTGAGCAAGTTGTTGAGGCGGAAGCGGAAGCCACATCACAAAGAATGAACATATGGGAAGGCAGTGAAAAGAATGAGAACAAAAGATGTTCTAGAAAAGCTTAGGAGAGAGGTGAGGCATCACAAGAAGGGTGTTTATTATGTTCAGTTTTTCTTTGTTTTGTCAGAATAAAAGGAAGGCTAAATCTGAGAGCAGGGCCTGTGTCTGCACTGCCCACGGCTGTATCTTTGGGGCCCAGCACAAAGCCTAACAGAGAACAGGCAGGAAATAAGGAGTCTGTGCTGAGTGGACAGGGGCGTGGAAGACCAGAGCTCAAGGGGTAAAAGAAGGCCGTGGAGGGGGTGAGCACCCGCATCAGAGGCAGCCCTGAAAGGACACCGGTCCACTGTGTTCAGACACAGGAAACAAAGGAAGGGAGAGAAAAGCAGAAGAGCATTGAGGCTGTGGGGAGAGATGCCGGCAGAGCTCATGCTGAAGGGCCTTAGTGTGTTTAGCGAAGCTCAAGGAAGCATCGTCTGCTCAGAGCAAGGGGGGGCGGAGTGTCACTGGTGGAATCTTGGGAGGAAACATGAAATGGCTACCATCAGAAATCAGGTGGAAAGTCAACAAGAAATGAGTAAAGGGATGGTTGAATCATAATAAATAGATCAGAAGCGAACCCAGGATTACAGATTCCACCTAGGGCTCTGACCCATTATGTAGGTGATGGCACGCCGTCCAGCAATCCCTTACCTGAGGTGGGCTTAGCCCACTGCAAGTCAACCTGAGCAAGGTCCTCCAGCTCCCGCTCTGCCTGAACGAGTGACACGGAGAAGATGCGGACAGACTGATAGGCCGCAGTGTTAGCCAGCTCCTTTGTGGCATTGAATATCTAGAAAAGAAACAGGAATGTCATTTCTTACACCCACCTAGTGGGTGGTCAACTATCCTACTACCTCTTAGTAAACACTGCCAACCTTCCAAGCTCCTTCTGAGCTTTCATATACCAAGACCGATCAAATAAATAACCAAAACCAGTGATGGGCTGGTCTGAGTCACCTTGATCCATCTTGATGAACTGAAACCATGAGGAATCATGTCCCCAAAGAAAGGAGAACACAGTGAAATTTGAGACCTCAAAGAGCAAGTCTGAATTAGATGAGGGTTAGGCTGAAGAGGGTCAACTATCAGTTAGACCACTGTAATATCTTTTTTTTTTTTAGACCACTGTAATATCTTAAAACTAAAATACTTTTATTCAGAAAAGGTATCTCATAACATAAAACCATAGCATTCTTTTCAAAATGGAGCCCAAAAGGCCAGGAGGAGGTAGATTTGTGTAATCCACAGCACATAAGAGAGGTGTCTTCAAAAGGAACACACCTGAGAAACCAGTCGACTGTAGAAGTACTGAAACATACTGAAATGTCTCACGTGCTTATATTCTCATCTCATCCTGGCAAATCACCCAAGAAAAGCATGGGAGGCATGGCAGTTTGAAAGGTGGTGTTTGGCGTGAGTGCTGAGAGCAGTCCCAAGGAACCAGACAAAGAAAAGTGTCCCATCCAAAGACATCATTTTTTCCCCAAATCCCTTTACGAAACCTCCCCAGTTGCCAAGAGTATGACAGGAATGGCTTGGAGCTTTTCTGGATGAGAACGAGTTCTACTGAGTAGCTTCCTTGTTAGTCATTCCTCTGTGAGCTTGCACAAAAGTGCTATTTCCTTCCATCCTGATTTTCCAGTTAGGTTTTTTGTTTGTTTTACAAAGAACGTATTGTAAATATACTGTTTTGGTTTGTCATGTGTGTGTTTGTTTTTTCTTGTCTTCTCTCTCTCCCTCCTGGACTAGTCTGGTTTTCCCCAAACAAAGGGCCAGCAGGAGCATCGGGAAGCCCAGTGATCGCTGGCCTCAGGGAACAAGAGCCCCAGCTGACAGGACCGCCCCAGCGAGAGGCACAGGCGGCTGGAGACTTTCCACTGGCCGCAGGCCACAGAGCGTGCAGCTGGCCCCCTCTCCCTCCCACCCAGCACGGGGAACACAGCTGGTCCTCCAGCCCCCAGTGCGAGAGAAACCGCCGCCCAGCAGCCGACTGCCCCCACAGGGCATTTCGTGAAACACGCTGCCCCTCCAATCGCCTTCTGACCGGCCACGGAGCCTGCTGTGGCCAAGAAGACGGCCAGCCGCAAACGAAATGTGTCTCGGGCTCTCCCGGGGCAGCCACGGCCGAAGTGCCCCCTGCGTAACAGCCGCTCTAGCCGGTCAGGGCCACCGGTCTCCCCGCTAGCGGGACAGACGCGACAGCGGGTCTCGGGAAAATTCCATAGGAAATCCAGACCTGTTTGTTCAGAGTCTTGCCTGGCAAGCGTGCTGTAAAATAAACAGCAAAGAGTACAAACAGGCTCAAGCGCTCACAGTCTAATCTGGCAGGAAAACTGTTTTTCAGCAGCAAGTACCTGTAAAAAGTCACCTCCCTTGAAATCCGCTCGGCTCTCAGCGCCGTGGATCGTATGTTGCTGCCATGGAAACGGGGGTGAAATGCCTCCCGTCTCTCCACCCACACCGGCTTCCGCACTGACTGCGAACTCAAGTGCCTCCTCGCAGTGAGCTGCCGGCGTGGGGAGGCGGTAGGGGCGAACGAGCTACTTGCAGTGTAGACGGCTGCTAGCCCTGCAGAGCGGCGCACGGCCGCCAGGGTCGGGGGGGCCGGCATCCTCCTACACTACACCAAGCCCACCGAACTGGATCCCCAACCCTGGCTGGGAAAAACTTCCATCCTCAAACTCACATTTGTGTTCTATTTCAAGCCAAAACTCGAAAGCCACAGCAAGTGTTAAAAATGGGGCTGGGGGGGGAGTGGGGCGGGGGGAATGCTTGCTCTACCTGATGACAATTACTTCTGAAATTGGTACCCTTTCCCAATATCACCAAGCCTTCTTGATGGAAGCATTTCCTCAGGGATATTGGCAGCAAATTTAGGAATAAAGAGATTTCAGGAAGATTTTCATTTAAATGACACTTGGTTTCCCTGCTGATGAAAGGGGAAGGCTTCCTCCATCTGCTGAGATCAAATTTCATCTCATCAAACACCTCAGTGTAATTATTTTTCTACCAAGTATTTAAATGAGGATGTAAATGAATACCAAGGTATTTGAAGTCATTAAGGCTGCCGAGGCTGAGAGGGAGAACCACTGGCTCTCAAGGGACCCGCAGTTCACCATCAAAGCAGCTGCTCCCGGGTGTTCATTTTGTAACCTTTATGCCACATTCTTGAATTAATGAAGAAACGTCAAGAATCTATTTCCTCAGAGAATCTTGGCATGGGGTCTGCATGAGGGAGCAAGGCACGTGTGAGTGAGAGAGAGAGAGAGAGAGTGTGTGTGTGTGTGTGTGTGTGTGTGTGTGTGTGCAGGGGACACGGGGGAACTTTACTTAAAAGAATTTGGACTCTTTAAGTTATAGTCCCTTCTACCACAGTATAATAGAACAGTTTTAAAGTCGAGGGAATAACTATAAAGCCGGCCATCATAACTCCCATGAATCTTTTATTGTTATATGGTACCAGCCCTTTTCTTCTGGATTTTGACTTCTCTACGTGTAAAGTAGGAATGTGGGGATTGCCAAGATATTGAAAACTGGGTTTCCTGTCTAACAGTGGCCAACTTCTTCTGAGCCTAACTAGAAATATCCAAGTCTTAAGACCTACCCTGACTTAGGAGGCGACAGATGAACATTGAGACTTTTCTCCATTTATACACATCTCACTCAGCGTTATAAATAACACTCAATCTTAAAATTCCACTTTACCCTAACAACAAGATGGGCATACAATCTGCCATTCCCTTCATTTGAATGCGAAGAATGGTAGGTTATAGTAGAAATCTTACCTCCTCAGAAAAGTCACGTGGAGGGGGGCAAAGAGAAGAGACAGACACCGTGTGTGTACATGTGTGTACATATGTGTACGTGTGTATGTGTGTGCTGTGTGTCTGTGTTGGGAGTCTTTAGAGGAAAAGGAGCAAAAGGGATAAAGGAGGAGTCATATAAAGCATCCTTTTGATCAAAAAATAAAGTTCTGCAGAGTGTTAAGAGACTGGAAAACTAGGCTTTGGATACTGTCAGCACCTAAAATGTTGTCTTGCAAACTAAGTGCAGGATTTAAAACAAAAAAAATTTAAAAAATTAACACTTGGCTGTGTCAGAGGGAATCTTTTTTATATCCTATATCTCAGAGCTTGTAGCCTTAGTCTAATACAGAAGATGCGTAAGAGTAAATTCTAGGCAGAGAGAATGTGTTCACTCTTAACAATATCAAAATCTGATTCAGCTTGACAGAAAACGGGATGAGATCCCCTGGCATAGACTGCTATTGAGAACCTGACTGTATGGATACAAATACATCTGGTCCGTGGCTTTCTGTGCAAACAGGGAACTACAATTAAAACATTAAGGAAAGTACCGTTTTCCTTAGTGAATTAGCAGCAATCCCACTTCTAAACAAAACCATGCTTTCTCTCAAGATATAAAACTTCAATTTTGCTTCCACTCACTGGTGCTAAAAGGGAGCCCCATGAAAGTTCACCTTAATAAACATTTAAATTCAAAGGTGTCCATATATTTAAGCAGGGCAGGAAGCAAGAGTAAATAAGATATCCATTATGAAGACATAAATGCAAGAATTTAGATTCTGAATTATAAAACTAATAAAAAAATGAAGTAGATATGTCCAGAGTAGGATCTTTTTAGCAGCATTATCTACTAACTGGTCAAAAAACAAAAAAGGAAAAAAAGCAATCAGGGGTAGAAGCAATAGAAGCAAAACAAGAAATCATAAAGTATATGAAAGGACTGAATTTTACAATTTTCTTTTAAGATAAATGAATTGAGATCACAGTGTCATCATAGAGATTTTTAAATCTCAAATTTAAGTATTTCTCAAAAATGGAGAAGTAAATAATGAGTAAACGGCAGGAAAATAAAAATCAACTTGAGAAGAAATTAAGTTTTAGGGGAAGAGCTGGGAAGACAATACTGTTTTCAAGTTCTTAGCCAATTAAAGGAAATAAAATATGCAGAACATATCTATGCCAATCTATAATGCAAATTAAAGAATTTATTCCTTTGATTCCTGTTTATATAACATGACTATTGTAAACTGTGCCTTTGATAAATATTTAAGAGATTAGTTAAGTCAATATCAGTTTCCTGTTTTTATAGCTTTTTTAAAAAAATTATAGTTATTGGGTGCCTGGGTGGCTCAATTGTTAAACATCTGCCTTCAGCTCAGGTCATGATCCCAGAGTCCTGGGATCGAGTCCCACATCAGGCTCCCTGCTCAGCGGGAAGCCTGCTTCTCCCTCTCTCACTCCTGCTTGTGTTCCTGATCTCGCTGTCTCTGCCTCTGTCAAATAAATAAATAAAATCTTTAAAAAAAAATAAAATAAAAAATTATAGTTATTTCATGCTCATTATAGAAAAGTAAGGACATACAGATAAGCAAAGAAAATCAATCCCAGTTTCAAGTGTGTCAAAGAACTTAAGTCGGACTAATTTCTCAGAAGTTCTGATACTGCACACAAAATCTTTACTCCTCTTTCACCAATATTTTAAGCGGATATAGTTTCAACATGTCTATGAACTTGCTAATACACTGTCCAGCCCTGATTCCAATTTAAATGAAACCACAACGGTCTCCCTTACTTTTATTTTTAAATGAGATAGCTTCCAGCAAACAAACGAAGCAAGGACAATTCTGAGGCCCAAAGCACTAACCCCATCACACCCTACCCAGAAGTCCAACCTCTTCATTCTAGACAGTTTTGGGGTTTAATTTGGAAAGTAGAGCTGATTTTAAAAAGAAAGCTGAGTGCTGAAGACATATAGCACCAAGGCTTTGTGTTACCACTGCTACCTTCCTAGAACACTAGTCAAAGTAAGAGGCGTGTTTTCCTTGGCAACTTTTTCCAGTGTCCTTTTTATCCAGCTTTACTTAAGAGACCTCACTCACAGTCTATCAGAGGGGCCCTATTCTCTAATAGCAACGAAGACAGGAACCCTTCAAAGTGAATTTCATCACTGACCAACACATTGGCAAGTCAGTATTCCCTTGTTCTGTCCCACTTGATTCTCCATGCACTCTATGTGCCCCATCCCTCCTTGGGAGCCTACACAGTGCTCTTCCACCCAACATTCTAGCAGGGTAAACAGCTAGTGAAGCCTCTATATAGTTATAATAAAGGAGGAGAAAAAATGCGAGGTCTCAAAATTTAAGAACAGTTCATCTTCAAAGACCATGACTGAAACAGAGAAAGAAGAACTGATGCCAACAAAAGAAGAAGCTGAGCAAAAAAAGTCATCACTGGCCTATTATTTCCCCTTTCTGTGTAAAGAAAAAACATATCTAAACCTATTAATTTGATATATGAATATATATGACACCTAACTGAAGTATCAAGATGTCTATAGCTTACCTTGAGATAGTTCACACACACACACACACACACACACACACACACAGACAAACCAAATATGGCAAAATATTAACAACTGTCGATCTAAGTGATGGGTATATAGGTGTGTATAAGTCTTTTTTTTTTAAGATTTTATTTATTTATTTGACAGAGAGAGACACAGCGAGAGAGGGAACACAAGCATTGGGAGTGGGAAAGGGAGAAGCAGGCTTCCTGCCGAGCAGGGAGCCTGATGCTGGGCTCGATCCCAGGACCCTGGGATCATGACCTGAGCTGAAGGCAGATCCTTAACAACTGAGCCACCCAGGCAGCCCAAGTGTATAAGTCTCTTAACTTTTGTGTGTGCTTGAAATTTTTTATAATAAAAAGTTAAAAAAAAAATAGTGACATCTTATTTTTAGACAGCAGTTTTCAATTTATAAAGACCTTTTAGAAACACAATAATTCAGTCTTTGTAAATTAGGTCCGATATAATCACTATTGTAGTAGAGTCATGAAAACGAAGACATTTAACAAAATTCAACATACTTTCATGATTAAAAAAAAAAACTTTCAGACAGCTAGGAATAGAGGGAAAATTCCTCAATATGATAAAAGGCATTTATGAAAAACCCATAAGTAACATCACACTCAGTGGTGAAAGAGTGAAAGCTTTCCCCCTAAAACCAGGACGAGACAAGAATATCTGTTTTCACCACTACTATTCAATATTGTAACTAGAAGTTCTAGCCAGAGCTATTAGACAAGAAAAAAGAAATAAAAGGTATCCAAATAGGTAAAACTATCTCTATCCACAGAAGTTATGCCCCTATATTAGAAAACCAAAAAAAAAATCCACAAGAAAGCTACCAGAACTAATAAACTAATTTAGCAGTTTCAGGGTACAAGACCTACATGCAAAAATCACTTGTTTCTATATACCAGCAATGAGCAGTCTTATGAGGAAATTAAGAAAGAAATTTCATTTATAATAGTATCAAAAAGAATTAAATACTTAGGACTAACTCTAGCAAAGGGGGTAAGATGTATATACTGAAAACTGTAAAACATTGATGAAAAAATTTAAAGATCTAAATTAATGGGAAAACATCCCTTCATATTAGGAAGGCTTAATACCATTAAAATATCAATATCACCCAAAGCAATCTACAGATTCAACACAATATCTATCAAAATTCCAACAGCCTTTTTTGCAGAAATGGAAGAGTATATCCTCACATTCATATGGAATTGCAAGGGACCCTGAATAGCCAAAACAATTGTGAAAAAGAAGAATAAAGTTGGAAGACTTATACTTCCCAACTTTGAAACCTTCTACAAAGCTACAGTAATTAAAACAGTACGATACTGGCATAAGCAGAGACATATAGATCAATGAAATAAAAGAAGAAGCCCAGAAATAAACCCTCACATATATGGTCAATTGGAATTCCAAGAGTTCAACGGGGAAAGGACAGTCTTCAACAAATGATGCTGGGAGAACCGGATATCCACTTGCAAAAGAATGAAGTTAGACCTTCACCTTACACCATATATAAAAATTGACTCAAAAAAATGGATCAAAGACCTAAAACTATAAATTCTTAGAAGACAACATTGGGGAAAACCTTCATGACATTGGATTTCGCAACAATTTCACACACAGACAACAAAAAATTAATAAACTATTATAAACTATAATTAATAATAACTAATTAATAAACTAGACTTCACCAAAATTAAGGACTTTTGTGTATCAAAGGGCACTCTCAAGAAAGTGAAATGACAACCTACAGAATGCGAAAATATTTGCAAATCAAATATCTGAAAAGTGATTAATATCTACAATATATAAATAATTCCTACAATTCAACAACAAACAACCCAATTGAAAAATGGGCGAAGAACTCAAACAGACATTTCTCCAAAGAAGATATATAAATGGCCAATAAGTACATGAAATAACACTCAACATGATTAATCATTAGGGAAATACAAATAAACCACAATGAAATACCACTTCATATCTGAGGCTATAATAAAAAACATTTTTTTAATTAAAAAAAAAACTGGAAAAGGGGTGCCTGGGTGGCTCAGTCAGTTAAGGGTCTGCCTTTGGCTCAGGTCATGATCCCAGGGTCCTGGGATTCAGCCCCGCGTCGGGCTCCCTGCTCAGCGGGGAGCCTGCTTCTCCCTCTCTCTCTGCCTGCCGCTCCCCCTGCTTGTGCTCTCTCTCTCTCTCTGTCAAATAAATGAATAAAATCTTAAAAAAAAAACAACTGGAAAGCAACACGTGTTAAAGAAATTGAAACCTTTGCAGATTGCTGGTAGGAACATAAAATAGTACAGGCACTATGGAAAAATGGTTTGGTGGTTCCTCAAAAGTTAAACATAGAACTAACAGATGATCCAGCAATTTCACTCATAGGTATATATCCAAAAGAACTGAAAGCAGGGACTGGAACAGATATCTATAGAACGATATTCATAGCAGCATCATTCACAAGAGCCAAAAGACAGAAAGCACCCAAGTGTCCATCAACAGAAGAATGGATAAACAAAATGTGGCATAAAAAGGGACAAAATTTCAATATATGCTACAACACGGATAGACCTTGAAAACATTATACTTAGTAAAATAAGTCAGACACAGAAGGACAAAGATTGCACGATTCCATCTACAATAGCATCTAAAAAAAAAAGAAAGAAAGAAAGATGCTTTCTACAAGAAAAATAAACAAACAAACAAACAAACAAATAAATAAATAAAAGAATTGAATACTTAGGAATAAATCTAGCCAGGGAGGTAAGAGACTTGTACACTGAAAAATGAGGTACAAGAATAGGCAAATTCATAGAGAGAAAGCAGAACAGAGGTTACCAGGGGCTGGAAGAGGGAGAAAAGGAGGAGTTCTTGTTTAATGGGCACCGAGTTTATGTTGGGGATGATGAAAAAATTTTGAGTATAGATACGAGTGACAGGTATACACAGGACTGTGAATATATTTAATGCCACTGAGCTGTACACTTAGCAATGGTTAAAATGATAAATATGATGTTATATTCATTTTAACCACGATTGTTTTAAAAAGCACGTTTTGAAAACAAAGTCTCAGAAATACAGTGATTTGCTCCAAGTCGTACAACTGGTAAAAGGCAAAGCCAACATTCAGTCTCAATTTGTTAAATCTCCATGACAACAAAAGACATGTATTCTATCAGATGCAGAGCTTGAAACAAAATCTAATTGTTTTGATTTCCTAGGCTCTCTCCAGAAGCTCATCTTCTAAAACCTATCATAAAGAAGAGTAATCTACTTTGTCTTCAATTTGATATGAAATCTGCCTGACCATCAGGTACTCCAGCTTCTGCCTTTAGCTCAGGAAGGGGAGGAGAGAGTGCCCCGCACCCTTACAGTGCACTAGGCGTGATTAAGAAAGCAGGCTCTGGAGTCACATTACCTGGATCCTCTATTAACTGTGTGACCTTAAGCAGGTAATTTAATCTCCGTGGGCCAGTGTCCTCATCTGTGAGATGAATGGTATTCATCTCATAAAGTTGTTAAGTCAAATTAATTATTACATGCCAAACACTTAGCACAGATCTTGGGCCCTGGTAAAAAAGAAGGTTTCTACCTCCTTCTTGCCCCCTTCTTCCTTCTTCTTTTTCTTCTTCTTCTTCATCACAACATTATTTATTAACACTGAGCCCCTACAAATTACCTGGGAAACCGTCATCTGCATGTTACTTTGCCCACTGCAAAGCCAGACATCTCCAAATAAGACATCATGAACTCTCAGGGTGATGTTCTTTCTCCCAAAAGTCTGCTGTGCCATCACCTTGTAAGGTCCACCAGGCTTCATAGGATCCAGTACCACCATCCAGCTATGAGAGTGTGCTGAAATGATTAAGAGGCTCCAAGGAATTAATCAATCAATTAAAATGAAATTAAAGCCCAATCCTGCCATGCATCATACTCATTTGTGGCTAAACCCAGCCATTGTGATTAACTAAATGCAAAGATACAAAGATTGGCCAAATTTCACACAAGCAAATAGAGATAACAAAAGCAGCAAAATTTCTATCCTTAATCTGTACCAGTCCCTCCTTCCTTGTAACTGAAGCATTTACAGGAAAAATAAATCACCCAGTTATCATCCTAAATGAGAACAGACAAAAATATACTGAGATTAAAATTCAGGGAGTTTAATTAAAAAAAATAAAATAGAAATTCTTATTATACTATCCAACTGTCAATATTAATAGAATCATAATCTAATAGATTTACACAGTGCCCCCAAACTAATCTGTAATTATATAATCAAATGTGAACACAGGTTAGAGAAAATCATTTACAATCTGGAACTTTCCCCTTACTTGATGGTGTCATCCTCGTCATCAATCCCCCACCCACTCCCCATGTCGCTTCCAAAGATTAATGCTACCTTTGGGTCTGGGTTCTCCAGACTCACAGGTGAGCAGAGAAAGTGACATATAAAGAAGGAGTAGGAGCATACAAATTAATCTCTATGAAGAAGATATTTAGATGTGCCCAATTAATTATTTTCAGAGTTATTTACCAGACTCAAGGTTTTCGGACTCAATTAGGGAGATGAAAAAGCTATCCAAGACCCTTTTTCAGAAATTCATAGCATATTCCTTAGGAACCACCCCCCTACCACCTTCCTACCTCTCACCCACTCATACCACCACCACTGCCAACATCATACTCAGAAACTTAGGGAAAATATCTTCAAAATGGCAAAATTATGCCTCAGAGAACCAAACAACATGAATAAAGTTGAAGAAACGAGAGTGAAAAAAAATAAAGAAAATAGAGAAATGATCATTTTAGAATAAATATTCTTGGCCCAATGCCAAAGAATACAAAATATTTTCTAATTTGTGCCCATCAGATTAATGTTAATTCAACGGGGAAAAAATGGTAAGAACTGGAAATGGAGCACGCTGAAGTTACCACAGCAACCGGTAAAAAAATAAGAATGATAAAAATACTATCCAAGTGCCTACTATGTGCTAGACATTGTGCTAAGTTCTTTCCAATCAGCAAAAGCTAAGCAGGAGCATGAGAGGTCCAGATGCACGACAGGAGATTCGTAAAAGCTCAAACCACACGGGGTCGCTCAGTCTTGGGGAAGATGTCCAAAAGCCTCAAGGCATCAGCAAAAGGGTACACGCCTGCTCCTCTCCTAAGTACAATCGACTGAGATTGCTACTCCCCTCCCTTAGAGGTCAATTAAAGCCAGGTCCAAACGGTCGCTAGTGTTTTTACACCACCGATAGCCAGACATCAACATATTAAATGCATAATTCACCTAAAGCGGAAAAATCACTGTTTTGGAAACAGTGGGCAGCTCACGCAGACAGTGTCGCACAGGTGTGATATGCACCATATGGCTCACGCTTCTGAGCAGACAGACACTCCAATCTGTCCCAACTACAGTCTTGCCAAGGTCTTCCCAGGCTTCTTGCACGGACATATCTTCCTAAAGCTCTGTCCTTCTGCCACCAATATTACTCCTCTATTGATGAGGAGGTCAAAAAACTGAGGCAGGACTTTTTTTTTTTAGCTTTCTACTACTATACAATCTATTCCTACTTGCTAGTGTTTATTGGATTTTACACTTGGCCTCAATCACACAATATGGCTGGTGAAGTAAATGGCCTTCACCAGCACTTCTGAAACGTTTTGCTGCCCAGCAACAAAAAGACAAATAAGGGGAAGGTGAGACATTTGGACAAGAGATGGCAACACCGTCCTACTACAGCAGGAGGATAAGCTCCTTCTAGCACCTGAATAGTCTGAAGAGGACTAGGGATCCAGACCTGAGCCTTAGTCCCAAGAACTACTCTCCTGAGGAAAACTCTCAACTCCCTCAAAGACCTTGGAGAACTGCCTCTGCCCTACTCAAGTTCTCTTAGTTTCAAGCAGTTTTCCTCTCGCACTTGATAAAAGAAAAATAAACTCTGACACAATAATGAGGGTTGAATAAAGTTGCCTGCCCAGGAAGGCAGGGGAAACCAGACCCACTGCAGAGAGCTGACTAGGGGTCAAACTAACTCAGAAACAATTTGGTTAAAACAATGAGGATTCCCTCCCCAGTCAAAGGATATACAAAGGAGAGCAACCCCCATGAAGGCTGCTTCTTAGACTAAAGGCAAGGGTGGGATGACAAAGGCAAAAGTCACCCTGTTTCCCAAGGCGAATTGATTGGTCCTTGGCTGGCAGTTCAGGACTGGCTGGATAAAGTGGAGCTCACCAAAGGATGATGAAATCCACTTACAGTTTTTAGAAACTGTGTTGACCCACCAAGTCCATTACGTTGAATCCAAATAATAAAACTGAGTCATTGACTACCAGGAGTTGGAAGTTCACCATCCAGCTGGCTTTCTGCTGATCCTGATGCGCTTTCTGAGCAACAGCTACTCTGGTTCCTTCTTCTGGGCCCTCATCACCTGCCATCTTACCACCTGTCTTACCAATCCAGGCCCAGGTTTCTGTAAATTCTCATTTTTGTTGCATTCATCTCTCTGCTTCCTCACATTCTTTCTTCTCCCATCGGGGAAGATTCATGTCCTTCCTTCATTACAGAATGTCTTAGAATGCTTACCGTGTGCCAGGCACGCCATCAAGTAAACCGCAGATAGTAAACCCCAGCCCTGAGTTACACCAACAAGAAAGCCACGCAACCTGATTAGGGACTTAGGTTTCCATGTCCAATGGTGAGTGTATCTGGTGGCCTATTTGTTCCTGTCCCTCTTCTCTTCATACTCCGGCCAAGGGCTTAGGTAAAGAACTCTCTTCAGGGGTACCTGGGTGGCTCAGTCAGTGAAGCATCCACCTTTGGCTCAGGTCATGATCCCAGGGCCCTGGGATCAAGCCCCATATCAGGCTCCCTGCTCAGTGGGAAGCCTGCTTCTCCCTCTCCTGCTCCCCCTGCTTGTGTTCCCTCTCTGGTTTTCTCTCTCTCTGTCAAATAAA